ACTCATGGAAGAGCAGAAGATGTCAATTTTGTGTGTCCATAATGTTTCTATGAAGTTTGATGAAGAATGGAGAGTTGTGGAGAAATATGATAGGCCAAAAAGGGTAAAATCTAATGGTAGTGAACTGGGGGACATTTAGCAAGGCCTGCTTGTTCAGATTCTTCTGTGTGTCTCTGTCATTGGAGATAAAGAAGTTCCTTTCCTCTGGGTCTACGAAGGCACTTTTCACATAAGGGTTTATGAACTATTTCAGAGGAAAAGAATGGGACAAGGTCAGAGACACCTTCCTGCACATGCTGTTTCTCCATTTCCTTCTGAAACTATTCAATGTGCAAAGGTGCCCTATTTTGGGGTAGCATATCCTAAAGCCCATCACACTCATAGTCTAATATCTAACCCAGTTTTTCTGCCCACCCCACTGCTAATAATCATTTGTCTATATGCCTGTATCCTCTACTAAGCTGTATGCTGAAGTTGGAGACAATGTCTTATTTACTTCTGTTCTTTTCAGTGTCTCCACAGTGTCTGCTATATATAATAGGGGCTGAATTGATGCTAGATGAATGTGTAATAGGAACAAAAATTATTGATTTATCCTCACATTTTCTGCTCACTAAAAAGGATCTTATCTTGTTCTGCTTAACTTCCCTGACATTTTGGCCCATTAAGATGAGTTCAGTTTTGCAGAAATTACCAGGTTTTAAGATAAAGAAGAAGAAACCGGAAAGGTGAAAAGTGAAGAGAAGAGGAAGAAAAAGAAGTAAAAGACTAGGGTATTTGGGGTTTAGCATAAACAGAGGCACTAGGAGTGCTGAAGAATGTGAGAGAACAAAGGAGAAGAAAAGGAGCTTCTAGAAATGTCACTAAGGGTTATGAACGTGTGGCTCTTTTAATGTAGTTAAGGATGTCCCAGTAAATGTGGGAATTACTTTTTAATCACTTTTGGTTGCTAGACTAAGTTTCTTTAATGTGGCATTATGCCAGGACTGGGCTATGTGGAGCCTGGGAATTTATTTGGATTATAAATGAAGCGTGCATGTACAAACCTAGTTAATATGAGACATTTTTCACTGAAAGACCTTATATTGCACAGTATTTTGTGTGCATTTTTGTTGAGCATGTACAAGGGCTTTGGGCTTTGGTCTCAGGGGGGCTGTGCCAGGTTGCTGGGCTAGGGTGCTGTACATACGCACGTAATTTTCACCTATTTTAACATGTCTACATAATTTACATAATGTGCACATGTATGTACACATGTACATATCGTACATATGTACATAGTGTGTACATTATGTACATGTGCACATATGGTATCACAATAAATGTATAAGTACATAATATGGACACAATACACATGTACATAATGTGTACAGTATGTACATTTCTTGTGATATTATGTTTTATATATATATTATTTTGATTATATATGTTATTGTGATGATATATGATATCACTGATATTTCAGTAAATGTACATATTGTACCCATTTTAAATACTACATATTAAATACACATTATATAAATAGAAAGGTACATATTGTACAGATTATGTACATTTATTCTACGTATGTATTGTGTACACATTATATACATATGAGTACAATAGGCATATTTACTGTAATATCCCAATGATATATATAATCACAATAACATGTATAATATCAAAATAAATGTACATATTGTACCCATTTTAAATACTACATATTAAATACACATTATATAAATAGAAAGGTACATATTGTACAGATTATGTACATTTATTCTACGTATGTATTGTGTACACAAATGTACATCACAGTTAATGTACTTATTGTACATCTTATATACATTTATTGCAATACACCAATAAATGTACACATTATGAGTACATTCTGCGATATTATTTTTTGTATATTAGTAAAAAATTACTCCTATTATCAAAGTGGATATACACCCATATGCGTACATATTGTACACGTGGACATATTGTGCACATTATGTACACGTGTATAGATGGTACATATCTACCTAATGTGTACATATATGTACACGTGTACTTATTGTACATATCTACATACTGTGCACATCTATGTATATTGTATATCTGTGATGAGCACATTATGTACAGGTGTACATATTGTACACATATACATAACATATTGTACATGTGTACATAATGTATATAATGTGCACACATATGTACATGTGTATATTGTACACCTGAACATAATGTGTACATTATGTACATGTGGACATATTGTAATATCGCAATAAATGTATATGAACATAATGCATACAATATGTACATTTATTGTGATATTATGTATGACCTATATATTGTGATTATATATGTTATTGTGATGACATATATGATATCATTGTGATAGTACAATAAATGTACATATTGTACACATTCCGTACATACGTATTGTGTACACATTATATACATATAAATGTACATACTGTACAGATTATATACATTTATTGTACATATGTATTGTGTACACATATGTACATCACAGAAAATGTACATATGGTACATATTATATACATTTATTGTAATATCCCAATAAATGTACACATTATGAGTATATTCTGGGATATTATTTTTAGTATATTAGATAAAAATGACTTCTAATATCAAAGTGGGTATACACCCACGTGTGTACATTTTGTGATATTATCCATCATATCCTAAGTAGGTATTACTCTCATTGTGAAAGCAAGTGTACACTCTGTGATTGTTCCAATATCACAGGTGGTGTACAATGCTTCTGTGATGTAGTTCTCTAATATCCTGGGGAGAGAGGATGATTATACCCTGAATATCGCAGGAAGTGTACACCACCAGTGTATTATTGTTTCTAACATCCAAAAACAGAGAGCATATTACTCCAAATATCTCAGGAAGCACATAAACCCCCAGTGATATTGTTCCTAATAACTAGGGGACTACAGATGATGTTACTCACGATGTGACTGGGGCTGTACACCCGTCGTGTGATATTGTTCCTAATATCCAGGGAAAGACAGGATGATGTTACTACCCAAATGGAAATATGCTCAATATCGCAAGAGATGTACACCAAGCTCTGATATGGTCACTAATGTCCACAAAAAAAACAATTATATTGAATTAAACATTGCAAGAGGTGAAACCCCCTGTGCTTTCAATCCTAATGGCAAGGGGGGTGAGGAAGACATTTTTGTCAATATTGCAGAGGTGTAACTAGAACTAGTGTTATTGTGCCTAATATAAAAAAAAACCCGGAATAACATTATCATCCCCCTATGATATGGTTCCCAGTATCATATTACACAACATTTTCAAAATAGCTGGTCCCTAGCAGCCAGGGTGAGCTGGGGGGTTGCTATGGGACCTCTGGCGGGCGGCTGTGGGCACAGCCCCCTAGCCAAGGTCCCTAGGCAGCCAGGGTGGGCCGGGGGGCTGTGCCAGGTTGCTGGGCTAGGGTGCTGTGCATATGTACATACTTTTCACCGATTTCTACATGTCTACATAATTTTCACAATGTGCACATATATGTGAGTTTTTCCACATTTTATCAGGGAAAGAAGCATAAAAGAAAAAAAAATAGAAATGTTTTGTTGTAAAGGTGACCTAACAGATAAGTTTAAATATAGGAATTGGGCACTGTGTTGAATGTCTCATTATTAGCACATAAGCTATCTTAAATAAATGTCTAGTGCATTAGACACTCTTTAAGACAAAGTTATCAGAGCTCTGCTTCCAAGGACAGGCTGGCAATATATTTCAGGAAGGATGTGATGATTCTAACGTAGCCTTTGAGCTATGAGAGCAATACAGCAGTGAAGACTCATGAACATTGTTCCCTTCCTGTCTCCCCACTAAGCCCCAGAAATGTTAGGGGACAAGAAGGAAGGAAAAGCCTCTGCTGCATATTTTCCAGGCACCAAATAGCATAAAAGGGCAGTATGATACTGCAAACTTTGGTTAATAAAAAAAACTGACACAATGAAATGACTATTGAAAATAAACCTTGTGGTTTCAAAGATTTATTGATGACTTAGGGTGAAGTTTTTATATTATGCACTGTCTTAATTTGGGACGATTCCCTTTCTTTTTGTTTATTTAATAAATATTTGTTAAGCACCTGTATCCACTAGGCACTATTTTAGGTGCTGGTGCTTCAGCGGTAGACAGAGCCCCTGCACTCATATAGTTCTCACTTTGTGGGTCAGGATGCAGACAGCAAATCAGTAAACACACAAAAATACACGACACAATTTCAAATGCCAGGTGTTTAAAGCATTCCACCTGATTTTTCTGAAGGAGGGAGCAAATAACTTTCTGCTGGCTTAGATTTGTGCTGACTAGGACACGGATCTACACAGATCTTACAAACTGTGATGTGTAAGAAACTATGGTTACTCAGAAAGATACAGGAGTATTTATATCTTTATGACACATATACAATCAATAAGGGCCCTGGGCATTTGATTCTTATTTTATTTCAATGATAAAATGGGTCTAGTAATGTTAGGTGTCATAGTTACTAGTGCTGATTTAATGTTAGTGACTTTACTTCACATTTAGCATAGGAAAAGTTTGGATTTATTATTTGTAAATTAGGAACACAGAATAAAACCTGATTAAATTACTTGTTCTGGTATAAGTATCAGCATATGTGAATTATTTTTGCATTTGCTGAATAATAATGAAGTTCTTAACAAAATGAGAGGTATTAAAGGAACACGACAATGGTTCTTAAACTTCACCATGTACTTAGGGATTACCCATGAACACTGGTAAAAGGCAGATTGTAGGGCTCTGACATAGCACATTCTGATTCTTTTATGTGTTGACTATTGCCCAGCAATCTGGGTTTTCAATAAGCATCCTCAGTGATTCTAATAAAGATGGTCCTGGAACTCCACGGAGACCCACTCTCTTGTTGGGTTGTATCAGATATACATGGCTTGATTTTTTCTTTTATTTTTCAATGACACTCAAGCAACAGCAAAGGGAACAATTTTAAGTACTCTCCGACATAAGTATCTAGGAACCAGTAGTGGAACATATTTTACACAAAGAGTGATAGAGTAGTTTTATGCTGTAAGACCAAAGTTCCTGGCTCCTGTCCTAGAATAATGTAGCATTGTTTAATTGATTAACAAGTGGACGCTAACCAAAAAAAGATAAATATGTATAGAATTAGAGAAATACCGTACAGAAGGATGGAATCTAATGGTGCCTGGAATTTTGAAAATCATCAATCAGAGTAATAATTTTAAATGTGCCACAAAGTAATACCATAATCCAAATAAGTTATACATTCATTTGCTTAACTCTCATCCATGAAAATCTTTATATAATTATTGCTTGTTCTTTTGAAATCTTTTCCTACTGTGTAGTTTGTAAAAGCACAAAATAGGTCAAAACTAGTTGTAACCCTATTTACTTCTGTAAACACAAAACTCTGTTAAGGCTTTTAGGTGAAGTAAGCCCAGATATAGGCTATGTTCTGTCATGTATGACTAAAATAAAAATTCAGCCTAAGGAAACTCCTTTTGTAGACATTATTGGTACTACAAAAAGTACAAACGTTAGCTGGGCGTGGTGGCACACAGAGACTGTATCTCCATGCCGCCTACTCTAGGTTGCAGTGTGTTTCCAACACGCATCTTTAATGGTTTAAAATGGTATTTCAATTTTTCCTTCAGTTTGTATGCTCTGCCAGCTATATGCTTCCCTGCACATTTCCAAAGTGAAGAAAATGAAAAAATCTTTTTTTTCCAATACTGTATTAATAGAGAAATCTAGATTTTTGGATTAATATTCTTTAATAAGAATTTTTTTTGAGACGGAGTTCGCTCTTGTTACCCAGGCTGGAGTGCAATGGCGCTATCTCGGCTCACCGCAACCTCCGCCTCCTGGGTTCAGGCAATTCTCCTGCCTCAACCTCCTGAGTAGTTGGGATTACAGGCACGTGCCACCATGCCCAGCTAATGTTTTGTATTTTTAGTAGAGACGGGGTTTCACCATGTTGACCAGGGTCGTCTCGATCTCTTGACCTCGTGATCCACCCGCCTCTGCCTCCCAAAGTGCTGGGATTACAGGCTTGAGCCACCGCGCCCAGCAGTGATGTTGCATTTTCAAAGAGCTCAAATGGATTACTTTTATGGAGTTTGGGGCAAATGACTTACACATATATATGACCCTCCCTCAACGCCCAAAAGGTATGTGGACACGCAGAATTCAAAAGTCTGAGGGTGACTGTGGTCAGGGGGTGAAGGGATGCTCTTTGAGGAGTAAGGCAGGACATTCAATAAGACCGGCTGGCGACCAAAGAACTAAACTTTAAGCCGGGCGCGGTGGCTCAAGCCTGTAATCCCAGCACTTTGGGAGGCGGAGGCGGGTGGATCACGAGGTCAAGAGATCGAGACCATCCTGGTCAACACGGTGAAACCCCGTCTCTACTAAAAATACAAAACATTAGCTGGGCATGGTGGCGCATGCCTGTAATCCCAGCTACTCAGGAGGCTGAGGCAGGAGAATTGCCTGAACCCAGGAGGCGGAGGCTGCGGTGAGCCGAGATCGTGCCATTGCACTCCAGCCTGGGTAACGAGCGAAACTCCGTCCCAAAAAAAAAAAAAAAAAAAAAAAAGAACTAAACTTTAATGCAACAAAGGTGAGTCGGTCTCCCTACCACCACAGGCTTTCAACCCAGCAACACCTCGCTCCGCCTGGAAGGCCCAGGTGCGGCTGGATGGGGACTGAAAGGGTCAGACCACGGGATTGTTCTCAGCTTTGGGCTTTTACATAGCAGTTTCGAAGACAAAGGGGTTTTTCAGCTAGGTTTGGTTCGCCCCCTCCTCCCAGGCCCAAGCTTGGTCCCCAATGTCCCCAGCAATGCTTGGGACGTCCCTCACTTCGCTCCTTTTTCTTGGGGCCACTGCCCACCCCTAGGTTGCCTGCTGTCCCTCCTAGAGAGAGGTGAATGGCCGTGACATTCCAGGGAAGACAAAGGGAGGGCTGAGGGGGGAAAGACGCCCTTCTAAAGTCCCACCGCGGAAAGGCATCCGACTACGCCAGCGAGGCGCCCTCAGGTTACAGCCTTCGCCCAGCCTCCTCCCTTCGCCCCGCCCCTCGGCACGGGGGACGTGCGCTGTGCGGCCGGCGCTTTCTGATTGGCTGCCGCGTCAGGGTTCCACGCCGCGATTGTGCCGTGGGCGGCCTTCGGCGCCTGCGTGCACGAGGTGGGGAACCTGCGTTGGGAGTTGCTGGAAGTCGGAGGTGGGGAAGCGGTAGTTCGCAGCTAGGGCAGGCAGCGCGGGGCGCAAAGTTGAGAGCAGTCCCTAGTCTGAGCCTTTTTGTCGCCCTCCAGCACTGCCAGTACCACGGACTCCACCCTGCCGCGGCCCCTCGCCGACGCGGTGCAGCTGCAACTTGACCAGGTGGGTTCAGGTACCGCGAGGCACTCAGACGTCTGGCACACGCCCTCGGGGCCCTTTGCGGCTGCGGTGCCACCAGACCGGGGGCCTGGGAGACGGGTGGGGACTGGGGCCTGCTGCGCTTGGAAGGGAGGGGAAGACAAGCCTGTCCCGGTGAACTCTCGCTCCCGCCGGCCTCCTCCCTGCCTCCCCGGCGTGCCCCCCAGAATCCCATCCGCCGCGCAGGGCCGTGGTGGTCCCGGGGTTGGTGCCGGCGATAGTCCCGGGGAGGGTCTTCATGTAGACTTAAGGGTGTGCGTGCTGGTCCCTGCCCTGCGCTGCAGCGGGACTGGGACTCGGCAGTTGCGTCCTTTCGGGTGCATAGGCTGGGATGTAGACGGAGCGAAAGGCTGTGTTCCGGAGAGGCTGCCGTGGTGGTGCCTCCCCGGCGGGTGGCTCTAAACGACCCCCGGAAGGCTGATGCGTGGGTCTAGGTCTGAACGGTGCATTAGAGATGGCGCTGATGGGTGCGAGGGGCACAGAGAAGCTTAAGTGCTGCACTCTGGGGACAGTTTGCATTGGAGTGTGGTTTAAGGGAGACACAGGCAGCAGTTTCGGGGAAGGCGGAGGTTATGAAGAAAAGTGAGAGGGAATTATCCCCAGGATTCTAGCTGAGAAAGTTGCAGCTTTGTAGATAGAAGCAGCCACCCTTACCTCCTGGCCCAACCCTCAAAAAAGCGCTTGGCAGTGTTCAGGGAAGGGTGGCATTTAAATCAGGCCAATTGAGTTTGATTGTTAAAGGGCCTAAGGATTACTGAGAAATCAACAATATTGTGATGGAAAAAGCAGCGCCATTTTTATTCAGCAAAGAAAGCTTGGAAGTATTTTGTTGGGAGAATTCAGCATAAGATTTAAGGAAATTGTTGATGCCGGGTGTGGGAGGTAGAGTTAGGTGATTGCTCTAGCCCCAAGCTAAAGGTGGTTGACTTTGGAAATTTTGCTTACAATTGTTTGTGGCATACTTAACCTGGAAGTAAGTGTTTAAACTTTACAAGGGATACTGGTTCACTGTCCTTAGCTGAATGTGGGCATGTCGTTTAGTTTTAGGGGATTTCATTTATAATACAGATTCTCTCTTCCCCAGACTGCTTTTCCTAGCAGCAAGCTGGAAACCTGACATTAGGGTACAGGCTGCCTTGCACTTTACTCTTTTAAATAAACTTATGTGGAACGAGTGTCAAATAAAAAATAATTAAATAGAAAAAAGTAAATAACTCTGCATTCTCTTAAAATCTCTTATTGCGGTCATCTCCACCTATCTTTAACAGCAGTTGTAATGTGTATCCTGTGAATAAAGTATTGGTAGTGAAATTAATCGTGTATTTGAAGAAAATGCTATTCTCTGTTTATTAATAAATTGATCAGAATTTAGTGTTTTTCACCTTCCCAGCCCTGTGGAAGATCACCGCTGTTTTCCACCCTGACATGCAGTGTAGCATGTCACACTCCTGATTTAAGCAGGCTGCTGCCGGTGTATCAGCAAATGCAGGGTAGGTGTCTAAAGAAAACATATTGCTGATGAGGAGCAAGGGAGATAGCCATATACATTTACATTTCTTTTTAGGGATACTGGCATGTGTTCACATTCTCTCTTTTCCCTCTTTCTTTTCTTTCTCCGAACCCCGTGTCTGCTATAGGTTTACTCCTCCCTCCCTTGCCGAAATATTTTCTTTGTTATGCTAATAATACCTTTTAATTTATATAATGCTTTTTTTTTAAAAAGAGATGTCATAGTAATGAACCCATTTGAACATCTCAGCAACCAGAGAAAGTTCTTTTCAGTACTGAAATAATCAGGAGAACCATGGGGAAGGAGACAGGACTTAAAACTTTTTGACATGTCTTTCTTTGTTTAGCTGAAGTTCTTGAGTTTGTAGCTTGGGACTACTATAAATTTGTACAGACACGTATAGCCCTAATTCGTGTAGTACAGTTATGTACTGCGTAGTGCCAGTGAGGTCATCAGAGCTCATATATGATTTTGGTCCTATGGATTATAAGGGAGCTGAAAAATTTCCATTGCCTAGTGAAGCTGTAGTATTCAGAATTTCTTACTCATGTTTTTGTGGTGATGCTGGTGTAAACAAACTTACTGTGCAGCCAGTCCCTGTAAAAGTGTAGCATATGCAATTATGTACAGTACATAATACTTAATAACATTAAATACATTATTGGTTTGTGTATTTTCTACCCATTTTATCATTGTTTTAGTGTGTACTTGTGTTGATTAAAAAGAAAAGTTAACTATAGAACAGCCTGAGGCGGGTCTTTCAGGAAATATTCCAGAAAAAGGCACTGTCATAATAGCAGGTGACAGCTACATGCGTGTTGTTGCCCCTGAAAACCTTTCAGTGGGATGAGATTGGAGGTGGAAGACAGTGATGTGAATGATCAGAACCCTGTGTAGGCCTAGGCTAGTGGGTGTTTGTGTCTTCGTTTTTAACAAAAAGTTTTAAAATTAAAAATAGAACAAAGCTTATAGAATTAGGATATAAGGAAAGAATATTTTGTACAGATGTACAATGTGTATTTTAAGCTAAGTGCAATTATAGAAGAGTTTA